TTCCAATAAAACTTTATTTAAAAAACAGGAAGTGGGCTGGATTTGGACTGCAAGCTGTAGTTTGCCAACCTCACGTGTGGAATAATAGTTGGCAGATATCAAATGTTCCTTGATTAGAATTAGCTAACTTTTAACTGAGCAATTTTACTTCTAAGATTTTATCTTACATAAAAAATCAAAGATGTTATCAAAGATTTGCCAGATTGATGTTCATTGCTTCATTGTTTATAATAGAGAAGAATGGAAACAACAAAAATAAGGGATTGATTAAATAAACGATGTCATGTCCACATAGAATACCCAGCAACTATTTAAAATGATATAGAAAAAGAATATTTAATGACATCAACCTAGGTTTACTATATATTATTAAGCAGGTTATAAAGCAGTTTGAACAAAATGATCCATTTTTGTTTGTACGTATACAAAGTCAATGACAAGAGACTGAAAAGACACGTACCAAAATATTAGCAGTGCTTGGGATTATGGGTAATTTTAATTCTCTTCTTTATGCTTTTCTACATTTTCTAAACTTTCTGCCATGAGCAGCTCTTACTTTTGTAGAAAAATAGTGTTTAAAAATTATCTATACACAGCAAAGTTTCAGTGAATTTAAAAGAAAAAGAGGATTGATTTTCCCCTCCTCAGGTCAGTTATTTCATGTATAGGCCCCAGCCCACCCTGAAGACTTTCTAAGAAACCCATAGATTCTTGTGATCCCATGTAACAGAAAAAGTGACAAGACTCAGTATGAATGTAATTACTGCGTGTCAAGCTCCTTCTATGAGTCAGGCACCTTGCTGACACACAAAGGAACTAAGATACAGCTTCTTCTCTCATGTTGTTCGCCATCTTGTGGGACAGGGGGAAAATGAACACAAAAGTAGCTACCGTGCAGGTTAACCATAGAGGCCCCCTTAGAGAGGTGTGCAGTGTTACAGGGGCACGACGTTGGGGTCGGGTGGGAGGGAGAAGAATCCAGCGTTGATCATGCTCCCACTGGACACCAAGAACTGTATCTCATTTAATCTTCTCAGCAACTTCTTGAGGATGTTCTATCCTCCATGCTTTGAGATGAGGAAACAGAGGCCCAGAGGGCCCGGGGACATGCAGCAGCCTGGGGAGGAAGATGTTCTCACCCAGGTCTCCTCTGCTCTAGGGTTCTCGTTTTTTCTCCACAATAGCATGTCTTACAGTGTAAGGAATGGACCACCACCCTCTGGAAATAGATGTTCTATTCTGAAAGGAGTTCCATGGTCAAAGATTTGGGGGAAGTAAAGTCAGTCTCCTCTAGGAGAGTTATTCGACACATTAGCACATTGAAGGCTCTGAGAAGTTCCACAGCACGACACTTGCAAGAGCATTTCCCGCACTTACTTGACCACTGACCATTTATTCATGTGCCGTCTGCTAATCCTCTTGGAGCCAGAAAATCTTACCTTCCATCACAGCCCTTCATTGTGATGGGAAGAGGCAAACTATGATGGAGAGCAGCCCAGGAGAGGGGAGCTTATGGGCCCCAAAGGGTGAGGGACGCTTTGACAGGTGCAGTAGAAGGGACAGGTTATTATCATCCTTTGTGGGAATAGCCCATGTGGAGTCTGCAACGTTCCAGCCAGACTGCGAAGCCCCCTAAGTGTAGCCCCCTCACCCCTGATGCAAGCGCTGGGGGTGAAGATTCATGCATCCCCATCTCCCTGTGGCTGCATGATGCTGAAACACAGAGGCCATGAAAAGAGCATAAGTAACAGCCAAGTCGGTGACAAGTTAATTTCCCCGGTGAGGATTTGAACCCTCATGGCCCAAACAGGCACACGATTTGCCTAATTTTCCCTCAAGGGACATATCTTCCCTCCTCAAGAAAGTCACTAAGGAGCTCCTCTCTCTCACTTGTAAACAACCGTAGATAATGTCTTCCCGTGATCTCTCTGCAGCGTTGGCCTATGGACACTCGTTTAACCTAAATTGCTGACAGCTTCGCTGGAGTCCCTGGAGGCCTCAGCCTGCCTGATAGGCAGCCCTCCCCACCCCCTCTCAGATCTGAGCTCTCCAAGCGCCCGAGCAAACAGCAGGCAGAGGAGACCATAAACTTGAGGGCTCGCCCTCTAGGAAGCCTCCATGGATACGGATATGAGGTTCCTACGACTAGCGCCACTGGTTGAGCAAAATGGGGGAAGCACACCAGCAGGTGCACATCACACGTTCATTTTTATTGTTCACGCGCTTAGGGGTCAGCCCTGGGTCTGATCCCGCCTCCGACCCATATGGGTCATATGACCATATGGGACATAGTCCAAGCTATGGGACTTTTGATGAGGGACACCACCTCTCCCAGTCCAAGATCCTCAGCCATAAACAGGAACAGGATGAAGTGACATGATCGACGTGAAGTACCAGGGACAAAGGCTGGCGAATATAGGTCTCAGCAACAGCTCTGATGATGATGACGACTGAGGCAGAGATCCTGACCTACAAGGGCCTCTGTGGCTGGGGAGAAAATAGGAACAAACGCAACCCTCTGGAGAGCTGTCCCTCCCCAAACCCCCAGTGCTTGCTGGAGATGAGTTCTAAGAAGAAAGGCCCAGGGCACCGGCACAGACAAAAAAAGCTTCAGAGGACCTTGAGTCTTGAAATAAGATCAAGAGGAAAGGAGGGAGGAACAGCATGAGCAAAGGCCCAGAGACCAGCCCAGCGAAGTGTGTGTGAGCCGCCCCAGAGGAGAGGAGGAGAGCCAGGCAAGAGGACCAGGGCAGGGAGGCAGGAGCGAGCGGGGAGGGACGGATAGTGCCGAGTGTGGAAAGCCAGGCAGAGATGCTTGGCCCGATGCCATAGGACACAGAGCCCTTAAAGTCTCCTGAGCTCAGACACAGAGGATTAAAACGGTCATTGGAAGAAATTTATCGGGCCCCTTTGTAGATGGCATGAGCGGAGAAGGGAGGACGTCTGGGGACAAGAGTGTAGTCACAAGGCCAAATCACAGTAGATTCACCTGAAAACAACAGAAGTGTTTTTGAGAAGGAGCATCAAAAACAAACAAACAAACAAACAGAAACCTCAGCGCCTCCCCATGACCAATTGCTACAATCATTCCAGTACTTACTTCCCAGGTGGCGGGAGGGCATCAGGACCCAGGAGGGAGAGGGGAAGCCACTTTAGCCTCATACATAAGGATTTAATTTTTACAAAATTGGATTAATGCATTACTTGTGTAATAAAAACTTAATCGGAAAAAAAAAACCCTAAGAAATCCACCTTCTCAGCATTTTAAAAGAAGATTCCTCTTAGGGATTAGTTTTTGATTTTTGTGCAGAGGTTTCAGCAAATTAGCCAAATGAAACACCAACATCTCCTGGAGAATTTCTTTCCGAGGCCTAAAAGCTGCCTACACACACCTCCTCAGTGGCCCAGGCTAACCAGTGAGGGCGCCTTTATTGAATGTTTGCTGGAAATGAACAAACCAAGAGGCAAAGCCAGGGTCTCTTCTGTCTGTTAGCTCAGGACTTATCAGCTGCTTCTCCAAGGCTCATTTCTCCCACCCTGCCTCCTCAGAAACCACCTTTCCTCACTGTGAATGCTTCCAAGCTAAACCAGCAGAGCGGCAAGCTCTCCGCCAGAGACCAAGTTTCACAGTGCTGTAGTCCTTGGCATGGGATGGAGACAGGAATGTGCCCAAGCCAAAACCTAGAAAACCAGTTGGAGCCCCATTTTATGCCCTTGTCCTTCACTGCCTTGTCAAAGGTCCCTTCTGTCCCCTAACATCACCAGGAGAAAAAAGAGAGAAAGCTGCACTGGCTGGGCGGTGATCAGCGGCATAGAAGGCGCCAAGGGAGAGGAAAATATGCAGCATTAATATTTAATGCCCCTTTTCCATTTTCCCCTAATAAGCTGAGCGCTACGGCGAGGAGAGCTGATTTATTTTGTCAGCAGTGGAAATATTTCAAGTATGATGCATGTCACTGGGTCACACAGAACCCATCACACAAAAACACACACTGCAGAAGCATCCAAGGGAAGAATCTTCTGGACTTGTTCACAAAGCCTTTAGGCTTAGGAAGTCTTGCAAACAGCACAAGATTTCAGGAAGAACTGGTTGCAGAGCAGGCAGTGAGGTGGGCATTAGGCCACAAGTCTGCCCACTGTCCGTGCGAGGCCCTGGGGAACACGGCAGAAAGAACAAAGGCTTTGGAGGCAAACACATTGGTGTCCCGCCCTTAGCTCCCCAGCCCTTGTCCATTTTCCTTGGCACCAATGGCTTCCTATTGCAAGCTCCTGCAGCTCTTTGTCTGAGGGTTTCTCTGGCCACCAAAGCTCATTCTCTCCCTTAGCAGGGCAGGCTGGAACAGCCAGGGAGGTAACACTTGGGAAACAGCCCTACTCCAATAGTAGATGGGAGTTGGTGGATAAATAGTGCAGCTTCTTCACGCCTCCGGGTTCCCACCCCTGGAGGTTCCCAGTAGAACTGCACCTCAGTTGCCTACAGCAGTAAGCTGCCCGTTAGCATATCTTGCATTGACTTCCTTCTCCTCCCCGTCTCACTTCTCCACTCCCTTCCCAGTTCTTTCCAGAATCAGTGCCCAAATAAACTTGCACTCAAATTGTTGTCTTAGGATCTGCTGGGCAAACTGCTTCATTCTTGATTTTCTCTTGTGTAAAAATGGTCATAGCAGCAACCATCCTGCTGGTGGTTTTGAGAGCCAAATGAAATGACACACACGATGGCACCAGCATGGCGGGAGGTCAATAAACACAAAACTCACACATCTCCAATGAGAATGTGGGTTTCTTGTAAGCCAGGGGCCAAACCTTGATATTAGATATAAAATAAGTTCTCATTCTGTCCCTGTGTGAATATTAACTTAGTCCAGTCTTGTAGCACCCTTCGCATTCTCCTCACCATGAGCAGTTAGTCCGTTGACGAGAAGTAAGAGATTGAAAGAAGTGCTGAAAGATGATGGTAGAAAGGACATCTGCCTCTAAGTCAGGTGATTGGGGTGTGTAACGGGTTGAACTGTGGGCCCCCAAAAGATACATCCAAGTCCTAACCCACAGTACCAGTAAATGTGACCTTATGTGGAAAAAGGGTCTTGGCAGATATAATTAAAGATTCCAAGATGAGATCATCCTAGATTAACGGAGTGGGCCTTAAATCCAAAGACAAGTGTCCTTATAAGAAGAGGAGAAGGTACAGACAAAGAGGAGAAGCCCAGAGGAGGAGACCAGGCACTGTGGAGATGGAGGCAAATTGGAGTGGTGGGGCCATAAGCCGAGGAACGCCTGGAGCCACCAGCAGCTGGAAGAGACAAGGAGCGATTCTCCCTTAGAGCCTTCGGAGCGAGCACGGTCCTGCCAACCCCTTGATGTCAGACTTCTGGTCTCCAGAGCTGTGAACAAATTTCTGTTGTTTTTAGGCCACTAAGTTTGTGGTAATTTGTCACAGCAGCCCAAGGAAACTAATACAAGGTGTAATACTGGGTCCTGCCTTCTCTACTGAACCTTGGCTCTAAGTCTCAATTTCCTCACCACTGAAACACAAGATTTGGAATAGATGGTCTCCAAGTTTCTTTCCTGTGCTAATGGTGAACAGCAGTTAGCGCGCAGATGTAGGAGAGGCAGTTGGGGGTATACAGTAGTATGGATTCCTGGTTTCAAACTATACAAGCTTAGTTTCTATAGGCTGGCTCGGGCAGAGAATGAATTTATTGGAAAGATGTCAAGGCTCACTGTGTTAGTCAAGATGGGCTACCTGTTGTAAGAAATAACTTGAGATCACAATGGCTTAGTGCATAAAAGTTTCTGCCACGCACCACAGTTCCATAGTCATGCAGGAACCCAGGCTCCCTCCATCCTGTGGCTCTGTCCTCCTCTAAGACCTCGTAGTGCTCTCCATTCAGCTAGCACCTGGGACAAGAGAGAGAGTTGGAAGATGACATATGAGTGCTTTTTGTTTTGTTTTGCTGTGCTTATTGGGTGTAGCAGGTTGAATAGTGTCCTGCTAAAAGATATGTCCGAGTCCTAGCCCCTGGTACCTGTGAATGTGACCTTATTTGGAAATAAGGTCTTGCAGATGTAATTAGGTTAAGGATCTTGGGATGAGATTATCCTGGATTTAGGGGGCGCTAAATCTGACGATTGGTGTCCTTATACGTAATAGAAAAGGGGGAGAGTTAAGACCCAGAGACACAGGCAGAAAGCCACAAAAAGCTGAAGGTAGAGACTAGAGTGATACATCTACAAGCCAAAGAACGCCAAGGATTTCTGGAGCCACTGGAAGCCAGAAAAGAAGCATGAAACATGTTCTCGCTGAAAGCCTCGAGAAGGAACCAACCAGTCCCCCACCCTGATTTCAGACTTCTGGCCTCCAGAACCATGAGATAATAAATTCCATTGTTTTAGCCACTCATTTGTGGTAATTTGTTACCACAGCCCTAAGAAACCAGTACATTGGGTAAGGCCAGGAAGAGGTGCATATCGCTCCTGCTCACGTCCGTCGGCCAAAACTCACCCACACGGCCCGGTATGATCGGGAAGCAAAGCCTGGCTGTGTGCCAGGAAAGCATGTGTATTTGTGAGCCTAAGAGTCTCTGCCAAATTCACAGAACCAATCGCCAAGAAACTGGGCAGCCAGAGCAAGGCAAACTCATGCCGCAGGATGAGTTGGGTTAGGGCACGGCTGCTGCTGCAGCTGAAACCCGGAAGCTGCCATGGACCTTCTCACCTCTCCCAGCCGTGGGCACCCGTGGGTTATCTTCTTTGAGCACCTCTGTCCTCAACATCAGCTGCACATTAGAATCACCAGAAGGGGTTGCCTTTAAAAAACCACCATTGTTCTCCTTGCCCAGCAATTCTGATTTAATTGGTCTCAGGTGGGATCCAGGCTTCAGTACTTTCTAAATGCCTCGAGAGTGATTCTAAAGTGCAGCCACAGTTGAGAATGACTGTCCTAAGCTATCTTCATATCTGGTGTTTTTCCATAAAGAATTTTCTTGTAGATTATCTCACTTGAAACTCAAAACAACCCTAGGAATGATGACGGATTTATATTATTGGCCCCATTTCACAGATGAGGAAACTAAGTCCCCGAGAGTGTGAATGACTTTTTCAGGCAACCCAGTTACACAGAGCACAGCCAGGACATGAACTCCACTCTACAGTGTTAAGTCTGGCATCCCCACACCAAAACTCTTTTATAACAAGGCAGCTGGCTAAAAAAGTTACCACCCCTTCTTAATGAGGCCCTGAGCTGATGGGGAGGCACTAGTGAGCCTTGAATCCAAGGTGAAAGGACTGTGTCCTTCTTTCAAATCTCTGACCTCCAAAGAAAGGCTTGTCCAGCCCGCCACGCAGTGGCCCTTCATGTGGGAGCCCATTTTACCCAGTAAGCACTCTAGACATCTTTGCAATGGCTCACCAAGATGCTTGAGATCTGAAATACTATTGGTTCCAAAATACAAAAAGCAAGGTGCAAACTAAAAACAAGTCGATGCTTAATTAATCCATACAAATGTCATTACTTGTTAAACTTAGTATGCATTAAAATTTTACAACATTTGAATGCAATTTGTAGCTTAGGTTTTCTTGCTCTGCCATGCACAATTAGCTGCGAAACCTGAGAAACCGTGACTAATTACAACATAAATGAGTAACTTGGAGCCATATCATTTCAAAGCAAAATCATAAAAATCCTTTCAAGTTTTTTTATAGCAAAAAATACATTTTGCTATAACGTGGGTGCTTTTAATATTTGTGACATGATGTAAGGTGGGACCATCAAAATTAGGGCATGCTTAGGGCTGACAGAGGACTTAAAATGGCCCTGGTTGTATGTGATGCCATGGTGCTCATCACCTCCATCCTAAAACACACTGCCCGAGCCTGCTGGTGACAAGAAGGGGACCTCCACACCCACGCCCTGGCCTTCCCTGTCCCTGAGCAACAAGCCGGGACCACCACGGCTCTCAGCGGAGCAGTAGAAAGTTGTTGTGGGTAAAAAGAGGACTTCCTCATCTCTTCATCACGATTGATGGGCATCTCCATTGGGCATTGATTTTTTTTTTTTTTTGAACAGGCTAAATTCTTCAAGTCTTCTTAAAACAGAGCAATCTTTAATTTATTCTTCTCAGTGGCTCCTCACGCTTCCCTGAAGAGCCTTCCCACAAGTTCCCTTGTGTTATTCACTGCCTCCACTTGATTAGCCCAAACTGGCCCCTTCCAGCCTAGACTTGAGACCTTTCTCAGAGGTTTCTCCTCCTTCCCCCTCCTTGGAGAGAGACCCTCCTCCTCTCTCTTCCTTTTTCCCTCTCACTTTCTCTTTCCTTCCTTCCCTCCTTCCCTCCTTCCTTCCTTTCTCCTTTCTTTCTTTCCTTCCTTTCCGCTTCCTTTCTTTCTTATAACTTCTTTCCTTCCTTCCTTCCCTCCTTCCTTCCTTCCTCCCATTCCCACCACATTCACCCTCTTAGGCTACATATAGTGAAAGATAACTAGGAATACAGAATTTTAAAAGGCATGGGACCTGCCCTTAAGTAACCAAAATTTAGTGAGGAGGGAAGATGAGGAGAATAGATATGTCAATAAATAATCAGAATTTCAGGCCATGCAGATTTTCAAGTGGAGCCATAGGTATACAGAAGAGGGTATAGAAATACGGAGAGAAAAACTAAAACTCTATTTGAAGAAGTCAGAAACGGCTTCCTAAGAGCATTTTATGCCCAGGAATGTGACGTCATTCTGATTCCATGTTGTTTGAAGCTGATTTGGGGAGAAATTAAGGCAGGTAGTCACGAAATGCTGCTGTCTGAAATACTTGTGTGAGGCCCTGGTTATTTTGACAGGCTAGGGGATATGATTTTATGATGTTACTCAATATACTTTATATATGGACCCAATTAATAAATTCCTCCAAGTACTTGGACTCAAAGAAAGGCTTGTCTTTCCACAATGAATTGGCATCAGACAATGAGAATGAGGTAATTCAACAGATTTTCCTTCTTGCCTTAGCTGCCAGGAAGCTCAGAGATAAATTCCATACCTATTAGCAGGGATTATCTCATCCTTAGTCTCTGATGGAAGATATCATTTATGAGAAAAACTACTGACCTCTGAATTCTTAGCAGGGTTCATCCCACTGGTTTTACTCAGTATCCTGTCACAGGAATAAGGCCATCTTATCTTTTTTAGAAAAGAATGCTTTTGAGAAATTTAGTAACTGAACTATTAGCTCCATGAACGCAGGGACTATAGCTGTCTCATGTATCACAGTAATGCCATTACATAGGAAAGTTTGGCAAAAGGATTAGTGCTCAACAAATATTTTTTGCATGAATAAGAGGATAAATAAATGAAGGAGATAGCTGTGAAGAGAGAACCACATGTCTAAATGCGTATTCCCCTACTGTTTCTTCTTGCCACTAGTCACTTGCTGCTCCTCATCTCTCAGTAATCCCAGATACATCTTTCTCCAGCACAGCACTGATCACTTTACACTCCCCTCCTCCTCTGCCGCCACATACACACACACCAGTAAGCCTTGGTCCCAAGTTTTCCAAGGTTCCCCTTTGCCTTCCCAGTTGAGGTAGGGGACACCTATTATTTGTGGGTCTACCCTGCATCCCTTCCCTTTGGCTACTGACCATCGTTAGGTCCATGCACTTTCTGGTAGGGATCTCAGGCTCAGGGTTCTATCTCCCTTGCTATGGAATGGTCTAGAACTCAGACTGGTCCCTTGATAGGCTTGTAAGTCAAGCATGGCCCATCAAAGTCCTTTGCGAGAATTTATGTAGACACTGGCAGACAGACAGTGTCTCTCAAATTGCGACAAGTAAGAACCATGTAAGTCTGGAGTTTCTGGGGCTATTCCTTCCAACAGAAAGAGTTTACCAGAAAATAAAGCCAACATAGAGAATGCACAGCAAGAGATGGACAGAGAGACAGACAGCCATTGAACACCTGGACCTAGCCATGCCTGAATCTATCCTAGTTCCGTCAGCTGGTATATCCCTTTTCTTGCTTGAACTAGTTTGAATTGGGTATCTTATTCTTGCAACTTTAATAGTCCTGACTGAGGATCAAGTGCAAATTCCTAACTCCTCTCTCTGACCTTCA